AAGGGATAACCTGGAGACTTTTTCCAGGCTGCCGTTGCAGAAGCGACCCGTACAGTTCAAAGGGAGACCGGCGCAGAATTCTTACGAGATCAAAAGGTCAGGCCGCCTAATTATCTGAACTGGAATAATCTGGACTATTTTTTTCAGATAATCCCGTTCGATTCAGTCCGGTGTAGGATACTTATGAGCCTAAGATGATCGAATAAATCCAAACAACTATTTTTCTTCAGGCCTTATTATCCGGAACTAGCAACTAACTAACATAGTTTAATCGATAGCTTTATATAGCCCAAAGTTACCGACAACGGTCACCTCATAATGACCCTGTCGACTCTTCTGAAGGCTGATGGTGATTTGGCAAAGAGTATCAATAAGAAAGTAGAAGAACTACGATATAGTTCAGGCAGTTCTTCTGTTTGAGTCTAAGACTTTTCAACAGTCAACTTCATCACTCTGTTCACCAAAGTCCTTGGAAATACCCAGAACCAAGACATTCGGAAGGAACTGTTTTGGAGATTCGGGATTTCCTCAAATAAAAATGCGGCAGAGCCGCCAAAAGTACTGGCTTAGAAAGCTTCCAAATGGCGGGATAACTCGATCCTCTCAGGACGAGGAATCAGGTTACAATGGCTCCTTATTAATGTGGCACTTCCGCTCAAAAGGAGTCAGATTCGCCTCTTCGTTGTTTGTGTGAAAACATGGTCCATCTTACGTGGACCAGGCGTGTGTGGCACGCGCAGGTGGATTGTTACAGTTTGCCAGCCTGCAGTCTCATTGCCTGTCTTAACACCGGGCTCCGGCGAGTGAGGGAGAAGAGTACGGTAGATGCTGAGCAAGTCTACTGTCACTATGGACTAATTCACGCGTAAGTAACCGTCCCCGCGCCCACCCTGCTCTGAGGCACACGGTGAGCATCGTCCACGACGCGTGGGCTGTCATGTCACGCAAACAAATATGTAAAACCAGTGCACCAAATCCGGACACCTTACTGTGAAAGGTTGAGCATTAGGTGAAAAGGCATTACACCTATAACTCGTTGCAGGTCTACGCCGAATACGTGTTGAACAAACTGACAGAAATGAATTTCAAGCAAAAAATCGTGTTTAGGAGAGAGAGAGAGAGAGAGAGAGAGAGAGAGAGAGAGAGAGAGATGCGGAGGCAAACCGTCAACGAATTTACGCATAGCCCGAAAAGTGTCACCGAATGTACTACATCCTTAGCAGGCATTCAGTGACACTTTTCGGGCTATGCGTAAATTCGTTGACGGTTTGCCTCCGCATCTCTCCCTCCTAAACACTACGAATGTACTGCATCGTTAGCGGGCATTCAATGTGCCACCGAGAGCATGCGTGAGGTTTGAGGGACAATTCGTCAAGGTCAACCATCTGGCCTTTAAAAAGCAAGCATTTGCATAAGACGTATGCTTCCTTCAGTAGGTGGTCTAACTCATAAAATGTTGTGGTCGAAATTTGAGAGAGAAGTGTGTCACGGATTTGGTGTTGTTATTTGTGTTTATTTAAATGATTTGAGACACAAAAAGCCATTTAATAAAGAGGGGTTCACTTCAAGTCAGCTTTACTAAAGGGAAATAGTCCAGACTTGAGCGAAATCTGACCTTCCTTGATATCCAGATAATTTCCTACGCTATGAAAATTTGCAGACCAAAACTTCATGTTTATGTGCATTGTGCTGTAAACGAAGATTACTACAAACGAGAAAAGGACGAAATAAATCCCGTCCGGAAACGGAACATTCGATTTTGCTCCCAAGAAAGTCAGGTGAGAGTAGGCTTGACAACTCGGATTGTTTCCAAGGAAAAAAGGGTCAAAATTAGTTTATAGAATTCTTTTTTGTAAATTTACGGCGGTTCGTGCCATAAAAGTCAGTAATAAACTTGCTCGACAGTAGTTTGTTTTACCACACTGGGAACTACTAGGCGTGAACTAATATGCATTGAGTAGCGCGACATGCCGCCGCTTTTCTGTGTCACGCCGTGCGAAAAAGACGTCCAGAGGATGTCTTTCAGCGGTCGAATATGAAAGGATACGGAAATTGGCAGCGGAAGGGTTGTCGGGTGGGTCGTTAGCAAGTTAGTAAGTTTACTCTGTGGCGAATACTTAGTGATAGAGCCTTACCCAGAAATAAGCAGGGTGGACAAAAACGGTCCACAAGTAGGCAAGACGACGATTTTATTCATCGTACACTAAGAGTATCAGTATATGCCCATTGAGACCATTCACAGGGAACATCTGCCGACGTTCTCTATGAATATAATTAGGAAAAGGGTGCCGGAATTTGAACTTCATTAACAAAAGGTCATGATCAGGCCGTTTTGGAGTAGAACACTTATTATAGAACGTTCTTTATTTGCTAAGAAATATATTGACTGCCGGGCCTCATTCTGGAAGAGCATTTACTTCGCCGATGACGTTTTATTTTTAGACAAGCCAATGAACTCGATCCAGATGGTCATATGCGGAAAAAACTTCCTAAAAGAGCACACCGCCGATGGCAACCTTCACGAACTGTCGACAGTTAATGGTTTGGGTGGCTATTAAAGTCTGAGAGCGGCCAGTCTGGCGGTCGACTACGGACACCATCAACAGCATGGTGTTCTTCAACATTGTGAGGGATGTTTTCAACTACAACGGTATCCATCAACGCTGACTGCGTACCATAATTTTACACGACGATGGTTCTGTCCATCGTCCTAAAAAAGTATGAATCTAGTAACTCTTAACCGTAATCTGACCTTTTCGACAACGGCCAGTCCCCCCGCACGTGGCCTTCAGTCGATTTCCATCACTACTAACAGCAATCCCATCGAAAATTTTCTCGCTGTTATTAAAAGACATTCGCATAAGGCGAATAAGAAACTTTCAATGCATGAAAAAACTTGGCCTTGTGCTAGACAATCACGTTGAATAATCCGTTACAGACAACCTGGCCATCTCCATGTCTGAAAGACCTTTTGCTGTGATAAATGCAAATGGACAATCAACAAAGTACTAGTCATTTGTATTTGTTATTGCTTTTTCATTTATGCGATTTGTAATGTACCCATTTTCCGAAATTCTAGTTATCACTGAAAATTACGTCAGTAAATATAAATTCACAACCCCAACTATGCCTTCTTTTTAAGAACACTCGTCTTTTCACTGCCACAAGACTTGGGAAACGCAGGTTGGGCGGATTTTGCGTTATAGGTATTTTCTTGTGTTAACTCATGACATTTCGTAAATTAGCACACCTAATGTACAACACAGTACTCGTTGAAATGCCTTATTTTAGAACTTTAACATTTCCGTTTTTACAAATTGACAAAGTTTCATGTAAGCTACTGCATATCATGGTGCGGCTAATTTCCAAAATTACCGTCCTACACAACTTGTTCAAAACGACATCTGCATTATTCATCCCTTGATGTGTGGTTTGATGTGGTTCACGAGTTGTGCCCCCAACTTAATACATTATGCTGGTGAGGAGGCTACACAAACGTAGATGAACTGTCAAGCTTGTAAGTTCGTCAGAAATTAATGAGTAAAGTTGGAGTAAGGTCTTTCTTAAAAAAAGCTTCTTCTGGTTCGGCTTGAGGGAGTAAATATTTAATCAACACCAGCAGCTAGATAAGGCGTAAGAAATAACAGAAGCTGGGTGAACGATAAAAACTAGACCGCACCATTACAGCTCGTTTGACTGTCCGTCGCGCGTAGGCATCCTGAATTCCATCAAGCGGGGTGGGTGGTGCTAAGAGAAGAGAGAGTAGTTCCCCGTTGATGTTGGATTTCATGAAGAGTACAACATAACGTGAAAGACCGACGACCACAAGCCATTGCAGGACCTGTTCGCGTGTCCAGTTGGCAAGGGGCTGAAAGTAGACACATTGGGGTTGAGAAGTTGGGGTAGGTAGTGACTCTATAGACGAGAAAAGTGAGGAGTTGATGAAGGCACAAGTAAGTCGGATAAATGAGGGGACAATCTGGCAAAGATTGTTTCGGATCGCAGAACAGTGACTTCCAGTGTAAGTTCTAGTGGGATGCAGGCTTAGTTCTCTATATCGCTTCTAAAGCTGGATGACTCGAGCCATCCGCCATCAGTCAGACAGCACCGTAAGTCATGCTTGTCAAGGCTGACATTTATCGAGGGGACATTTGGTAGCGTCTCAACCAGCTACTCCCAACTGGCTTGCCTATCATTCTCAACAACGATTTCTATATCTAACTGAATGCACCGTCCCCAATCGCAGGCTGCACTCTTCGGGCAGGGTTTTATCGGGAGGGCAAGCGCCCGCGATCGGAGTTATCTGAATTTGTATTATGCGTCTCCTGACAAGCAGCTTGGATACTGCGATCCGTAAATCAGAAGTTTACTGAGTAAACATAAAGGGCAGTTTCCGCATAGGAGTAACAAACCGGCACTTTCAAATGGTACCTGATCGCACAGGCTGATACCCATGGAGGCCTCGCTTTCGGCTGTGAATGGGCAGACATCTCCGCTGGGTGGAACAAAGCGTATGCAGGTCTCACTCAACCGAACGCTGCGCTGAGCACAGGCGGCATGAAAGAGGGAACCACAGGAGAAGCACTGGCGGGCACTTGTCCGTTTTGGTGTGATGATGTAGTCACCACATGCTACGCAAAATTTGGGTGTGGTGACAGATACCGGGACAAGGTTGTGTGTGTCGCTTGAGTTTGATTCTAAGTGGACAAAGTGCAAATATTGTTACTTTCTTGTTGTCAGTAGTGTGATTTAAATCAATGGCAAAAGTTGTTACCCGCCATTGCTGTGATTTACGGCCTTTGAATGAGAACACCACATCGGCTTATGAGTCATTTGAAACGCATTCAGAAAGCGGCACAAATTCCAGGCTGAAAATAAACATAAGTGTCGTTATTTTGATCGGCAATTCCTAAATAGCTTGGTAAAGGACGAGTAATTCGTTTTTCGGCAACTATTTATTGGAAAGAACTAAAAGTACAGTTACATTTCGAAGTATTCAACTACAGGAAGGATTCCAACTCCTCTTCCTCCTTCTTCCAATTTTTGTTCATGTAACGGTGGTTCAAAGTTAAGTATGCGTTTGGGACGCATCCTCGGCATCGAGCAATGGACTGGTTGGCGTACTGGGGTCTTATCATCTCAAGTGCTTTGGCCAGTCCCGAAAGGAAAGCGAGGCCGAGCACCAAGTTCATTCGGCTTGCCAGCGGAGCTAGACAAAAAAGAGGGAATAATGAGAAACGCTGGTTTATCTTGTGATTTCGGACGGAACCAGCACGATCTTTACTACGCGTGCTGTTTTAGCACGAATAGCCCTTAGGCAAAGTATACCGGGCGTGATTTTTAAACAATTTCGGCAGCCTGACAATTAGAGTAATGTAGGCACCCACTAATCGAAAACAGCAACCGTAACTGCACACCAAATATACAAAAATTCAAACTTCACGAAAAAAAAATAGTGGCTAAAGAGCGTTTCGTAAAAATTATCTTGCTTTTCACATTTAAATTAGACTCCCGCTGATTCTGCCCCAAAATAGTGTTTTCGAAGACGTCGGAAAACAGTTGAACAGGATTTAAAAATACAGTATATATCTGAACTTCATTGAGAGTCGGAAATTACCGTAAACAGTAATCCTACTCGTCATGGTTCTGGTGAGTTATAAACTGTATAGTCGCCAAATTAACAGGGATAACACGTAGGCGGCAAGTCAACTGCGGTCGCTTCGCGGTGAGGCATGCGAACATACGAAAAGGCTGAGAAATCTATTCTCCATGACGGTGCATACTTCTCGTGCTGTTGCAGCAAACCTTCAGTGAAAGGACGACTTGACAACCACAATACAGCGATGGTAAGCAAACTCTCGAACTCTGCTTTACGGTCAGCATGTCTTTATCATCTTCAGTCGGCGTCCCAAACCCTCGTTATCCGCACCATAATGGCACTGTGACCTTAGGTCTGCGACTACTTTTACATCAAGTGAATACGTCTACTTCCATGGAAGGTCGTACCAATAAACAGCAGCTAGGTTGCCGGGTAGACCTCACTTCCCATACCAGGTGGACGAGGTTGCTGAGGCAGTACCTCCATGCATAAACGTTGTAAATAAGAAAGTACTGTCGAGCGGCATTTCTGATCAAAAAACCGCTCGGAAACAATAGCCCAACCAGGAGTAGACAGTTTTAAATATATTAGTCCAGGTTGCCGACAAACGCATAGGGCAACAGAAGCATCGCAGCCTTAATAGATGCTGTCCGCAGGTTTTTCCAAACCTTTTGGAGTGCCCGTAACCCCACCACAATATCTTAATTACCACCACAACGAGAAAAAACTAAGGATCATCGGTCGCTGCTAACCCAGAACGAGACTCCGACTGAGATGCACCAAATTCATCTCGAATGAGACGGTTCGAGCCTGCTGAAACAACATCAGGAGGATCTTTAGTGCCACTCAAGGAATATGGTCCAGTTGGTTTCGGCACTCTTTTCGTCATCCGTCACATGATCAGAATGAGACTCCGGAATCCCCCGCCGCCTAAACAAATGAGAGGGGATGAACTCAAAAACTGACTCGAAACAACCCACCAAGACGTGGAGATGACTATTGGATCTTTAGTGTTTGATTTTTAGCGCTGGTAAAGAGAATGGGGCCGACTTTCTCCATCGCCTCAGTCGAGCTTCTTGCGTTAAGAACTACTACCCACAACATCACGGGGCGCCGGCTGGACGAGGCATGATCAAAAACCTACTAAGCTGGTAAGAAGACATGACCCTCACTGGGGAGGTTTTCGATAAGTACGTAGATGTGCCGCCAAAAAGACAGAAGCCACACGTTGTGGCATTATAGGAAGTCAAACATACAGACTACAGACGGTAACAGCTAACTAAATCTGTTATCTAGTCCTTTTGGTTCCTGAGCACATACTAATCAAGAAATATAAATATCTACCGGCCGTCTTAAACAATTGTTTAACGTCGTCGATTAGTGGTGCATCTCCCAATTCTTTAACCTGCAGTTGGATAAAAGTATGCATATGTAGAAAATTGTGATCGAGCACGCCTAAACGAGTGGCACCGAAGATGACACAAACAGTCACTAGCGTCCTTTATTATGGTGTTTTATTAGTAAAATCGGTTTTCCCGAAACGCAAGCGAGCTTCGTGGCCGATGAAAAAGACAAGGGAGACTGGAGAGGGCAGTTCAGGCGTACCTGTAGTCGTCGGCCGGCCGGCAGGACCCAAAACTCAGACGAGAATTTGAAATAATAACCCGGCCAACAAACATACCAAAGTTGACAGCTACATAAATTGGTCTACGTGCCCATGTCCTGTCGATTATCATTGATAATATTTAAAATCACTCTGATAGCACTTACTCGCCCCGGGCTAGACGTTTGCTAGCCCGTTTGCCTTGCGAGCTATTTCAGGGCTACTAACCTGACTGGCGGGCAGTGCTCGACCTGCGCGAGGAAAGAAGCTTTTCTGCTACACCCCCTCTTTGATGCTCACCCGAGTGCATTTTGCGCGGCACACCTGGGGGTCCCTTTACGCGTACGCACGCACATTGTCCAGAATTTAGGCCCCTGTCTGGTGACTGAAATCGCCTCGGGCTACAACGTCCTCAACTCGCCCGAGAAGGCGCGTCAACCTACTGTCCCCGTGTGGACAGTGTCCGCTGGGATTGCTGAAAAAATCCAGTCAATCGCAACACTAGCCCGCGACTGGGCTAGCCCTGGGCGAGTAGAATGCTATCAGGTAGTTCGGTGAATGCTACTGTCACGCACGCAGTGGTTGAAGTTATTCACCAGAAAATTTTCAGACATATTTGGTGTTGAACATCTGGTGTATAATGTGCACAGCCTAGTGCACATTGCTTAAGCAATCAGGACGATATATTTCTCCTATGTATACTATGGGTGGGGCTCCACCTAAGGACACGTATGTGCAACGGTCTGTGAATTTTCTTAGGTAAAATAGGGACCAAGTACGCGTATGTTCGAGGAAGGTTAAATAAGACGACTCACATTTCCATCGGATTATCAGTCCAGCGACAGCGCCAGCTACGGCATGACTAGTTGGGCTGTCGTGTTGATTGAGGAGTTTTGCACAAACGTAACTCGTCGTTCCATGGGCAGCACCAGCAGTCACTTTCAAACGCAAATTAAAGAAAAACAATTCACTCACGCCCAGTTGCCATGACTTTTACTGCTTGAACGCCAGCTCCATAAACATTGCGGCCAGACAAAAGACTTGGCATGTAAACAAAACCAGCCTTGGCCATAACTAAAGATGATTATTAGACAGGATGTTTCCGGTGAATGGATAACTACATATCAAGTAGCTGGAAAACGTGGCCATCTTTATGCGGTAAAAAGGGTTGATATCATCTTGTGAGTTTAAATAATTGTAAAAAAAGTTCGGCATTAGTAGAAAGCAAGATGTCGAAGCAAAGGATTTAACGGGATCGCCGAAACCGTGGACGAATAAGTACAGCCGAAACACTGATAAAATCGAAATCGAACTTCACACTTAATTTCTTTGGTCGAAGTAGGTAGTTATTCCGGTTTCGTAAATTCGCCCGCACTTTCTACGCGATTCCACATCTGCTCGCAACAAAATCAAAGGTACTAGTTTTCGCGGGCCATATGCAAATTCGCTCTTGCCATCTACTTTGATTAACTGCCCCGATGACCCCGTGGGATGCTCAGAGGAGAAAGGAAACGGAAATCGTGGGTAGCAGAGGCAGGTGAGTGCAAGTTAACTAGGCGCATCATTCTAGTCTTCATTCAGAGACCTCCCAGGGAAATTAAAAAGGGTCCCTGGACTGTCGCAAGTGTCCGATTATTTGGGACTTGACCGGATCAAATGCAGTCAGGTCTGACAACTGTCTTAGGTATACAACTTGCTTTCATGGCCTCCTAAGTCAACTACTCAACCTAGATGTGAAGGACCAGATCTGAAAGCATTGAGGACCGAAAAGTGGCGAAGATCAGTTGAGAAAACTGCGACCGTCACCACCTACAATTATGCTAAATAGTAACCAACGAATCCAATTGACCATTTTTCAGTTTATTTCAGTTGATTTGGTATGGATAATAGGCAATGCCTTTGAAAATCCTGTTGTATACATGCCAGCTCGTTCAATACATCTGTGCGCGACCGGAGCAAATAAACCCGGTTAAGACCGTAGTTACATCACTTAAATAGTGTTGTTTCACAAGACGAACATTCAGGGGTTCACGGATCTTTTAGCTCAGGTTCGGACTGTCAGGGGAAAACACGGGACACGAATATTCATCTCGGCGTTATTTGAGGAGATGCGGGGACGGTGGTCCCACAACCAAATGAGGGAGATCATTGCATTTCCCCACTCCCTTTGTGTAAAAAATTCAGGACGAAAGTTTCGCTTCGACACTTTGCGTGTACGGTTATCGTGGGTCCAGGAATATTGGACGAAGGGTGCCACGGAAACATGCCCTCAAAGCTCAGTCCATGCTCAAGGCCATGTGTTTTCTTGTAAACCAGGACAGGACCACCTCTTTGGTGCATGTAACACAGGCAGTAAATTTAGGTAGTTCAGTCAATCTATTTAACATTGGTTTTTTAAACCCCGTGCCATCTTTTTTGCGCGGCGTTTTACATTCCCGATGCATGCTTGGTTTTATGCTATAGACGGGCACCATGCTCATAGGGCACATTTTAGATGAGGCTTAACAAAGGTGTCGTTGACTTTCACAAAAGCGTCTTTTCCGAAGGTTACAAACGCCCTTTTGATGTTCTCCCATCGCCTTTTTGCAGCCTCCGTGCACTGCCGTGCATGCTTCATGCTGCCCCGTATCCGAACGCCGAGATCCTTCTGCAAAAACCCTGTAGAAGAATAATGCCATTTAGGTGAAGTGCTCTCATGTTGTCATTTGACTGACAGTTGGTTTGACGCAGATGAAGGGCGGCACGCTTCTGCACATCAAAGTCGAGAAGTCATTTCTCAGACCACGTTCGCAGCCAGCACAAATTATTTTGAAGATCTCTCTGGTCATCAGGACCCTTAATGCACTGCCTCGGCTTAACTTCGTTGACAAACATTATCTTGCCTCAGTCGAGATCTTGAAAACAGTTATAACATTAAGGATTAGCAGTAGGTGTCCCAGAACTTATCCTTGCGGCACATCACCAGTCACTAAAAAGAGGTCTTTAATCGAACTAGTCTCTATCTGAACATCTGGAACAGCGGTAACTTGTCTCGCAATTAGAGTCAAAATAAAGGAAGGGCGAACACAACCTACCGATCTTCGGGCGGGAAAAATTAAGAAGAACAAAACGTTATAGTAAAATCAGCTAATCATGATACTAATAATGTCAGTTACTCATGTCACGCAGACACCGCCGTAGAACAGAAATTCAGTGCACTGGCTGAAAAGCCCGAAATGTGATAAAAACCCACCCGGCAACTGAACAGACCTGCAAAAATAACTTCCTAAATGGGATACATTAACCTTCATAACAGTGACAAGTTCATCCACAGTATCATATTTGAACGGAGAATTTGACGGCGGGTGTAAAAAATTGTTAAAATTATGTAAACCAATTGGTTAATTCGGTTGTACTCGCTTCTGTGGCACACATACTAAAATTGGAACGGTACAGAGAAGATTGGCATGGCCATTGCGCAGGGATGACCCGCAAAAGCGTGAGGTATTGCATATTTTTTCGTATTTATGGCTTTCAGGATGACCCGCATAAGAGACTTAAAACATTAATCGGACCGACCGAGACCGCTTAATTTTTCTTCCAGAATAACGAGCAAGCGCAGCTACTGCTGAGCAGGGAATCTGCCCTCTAAAATGCCAACCCATTAGCTTTTTTCAGCGGGCCTTTTTCACCCGCGGAGAGAGAGGGAGGAAGAGGACTCATATTGGAAGTCTTCAGGCAGTCAAGACTAGGCGAAAAAAACGCATAATACTGAATAGGAAAATTATACGCGCCCATAGGTCATTCCTCTGGAGAGAACCTATAATCCTTACAGCTTAGGAGTGATGGAAGGAAGTCCATCTCGATCAGCTCCGGCCGGCTTTTGCATTCAATCCCATGAAATGGACAGAGGCCTATATGCCGGAGTTGTTCAAGCCAAATTGAGATTTGTGTATACTAGGTTCGACGAACTCAAAGCGCTAGTGTCAAAACGAAACGTCGACATCATTTTTATAACGGAAACATGGCTTAAGCCTGAAATCGTGGATGCCAAAATTTCGATACCTGGTTACCAGCTCTTTCGCAGAGGCCGTCAAAATAGACAGTGCGGTGGAGTATTCGTCTGCGTAAGGACAGGAATTTCGGCAGTTCAACGAGCCCACGCCCTCTCCCTTGAATATGAACCTGTCTGGATAAAGATAAAGAAGATTAGCGCACAATACCTAGAATTCCTGACGGTTTACAGACCAACAAACCTCCCGAGAGCAGCTTATGTGTCGCTCCTTCAGTTAGTCAGGGAAGTAGCTAGTTATCAAAAGGTTCTTATTGCTGGGGAATTCAACGCACCTACAATAAAGTGGGAAACCACTGCAGTTAAGGGTGGGCCAACTCCCTTCAGCGATAAGCTAATGGATCCCACACTCGACCTCCCTCTGCCAAACCATGCGAAGGTACCAACAAGACTTAGAGAAAATCCGAGAGCGAATTGTCTGGACTTAGTTCTCACTGAAGACTTCTCTAATATTGACGAAGTGTGTTCCAGTGCACCTCTCGGAAAGAGTGACCACACTACGCTGCTATGGGATTAATCGCTCTTCTCTCAACGTCAGAAGAGAGCAGAAGGTCAACCTAATATATGGAAGGCAGATTTTGACACGACGAAGGACTAATTGATATCCGTGAATTGTGATCGTTTGCTCAAGGGAGATCCGGAGGACGACTGGAAATAGTCTACGCCGATTTCACTCGATCTAATTCGGCGCTGTTGTCCACCTAAGCTACAAAAACGACTTGTCGACCTGCCTCGTTAGCTAGGGACCTGAATGGGTAGTTACGGAACAAGAGTAAAAGATGGAAGATATTCAGGGAGACTGGGTCACCAGTGCAACTGGGAGAATTTTGTCGTCAACGAAATGCAGTCAAAAAGTGCATCCGTCGGGCACGGAAAGGGTATGAATCCAAAATGATCCAACAGGCTGAACAGAAGTTCAGGATTTTATTTCACTATATTAACAGTGGACTGAAAACAAGAACCCGATCGCAGTACTGAAGGGTGATAGTGGTGTAGAAATCAGAAGACTAGGTAACGAGCATACGTCGCTTTCGGTAGATTGTCTTCGGGCCAGTACGGGGTGGAAGCAAAAACATGTCAGTGATAAGACAAATCGATTAAAGCTCGCCTTAAAACGCAAGGGGGATGTGAAAATGTGGGGAGGATGGAAGTTAATAGCAGTGAATGCCCGGGGGCGGGAGGAGAGCGGAAGGACGCGAAGAAATCCTTGAAAACCGAAAGAAAGCCGAACACATAATGCAGTACTTTACTTCAGGTTTTACTAGGAACACGGAGTTTCGTAGTCGCAGTGCCAGCAATGCTGTCGAAATCGCTAATCCCGTGCTTGACTCCATAATCTTCCCGATATCTGTTGTAGAAGGGGAATTACAAAATCTCAAAGAAGAAAAGTCCTCGGGTCCGGACAATATACCGACCAAATTCTTGAAAGAATTGGCGAACGAGCTCTCCAAACCACTAGAACGCATCTTCAGTTCGTTATTAGAATTAGGGAGGCTGCCATCGGAATGGAAGGCAGCAAATACCTTTTCAATATAAGAGGGTGGGGTTCGCCCTAGCGCTAACAATTACCGGCCTGTTAGTCTTACCTAGATGTGCTGTAAAATAACGGAACCCATAGTTAAGAAAGCAACAATGAAGCTCCTGGAGCAGGATCACTTACTCTCAGACCTGCAGTATGGCTTCAGACAGAAACGCTCGTGTCTTTCCAGTTTATTGCTATCAGCTGAGTAATGGACTCGCGCACTGGACGAGGATGGTAGGGTCAATGTCATTTTCACGGACTTCAAGAGGACGTTCGACAGTGTCCCACACAAAAGCCTAATTTACAAACTGTCTGAAATTGGAATAAGAGGAGAGTCAGTGACATGGATCGCAGACTTTCTTACAGATAGGTCACAAACCGTGTGTGTTGATACTTCGAAGTAAATTCCTACCCCCGTCCTAAGTGGTGTTCCCCAGGACTCTGTTTTAGGGTTGTTGTTATTCTTAATTTACATTAATGACTGCATGGACGACCTGCGATGCAACGCCGTCATGTTTGTGGAGAGCCATCAGGTGCGACATAGACAGGTACGCTCTTCATGACAGTCTCAACCGC